GTGCCGGTGGGGGGGGGGAGAGAAAACCATCATTAGTCCGGCTGAGGCATCCGGGTGGGGGCTGCCCAGGCCCTGGGGGGGCTGTCAGCCTTCGTCCAGGCTCCGCCGACAGCCAGTCACCCCCGGGCCCCGAGCGAGCGTGAGTTACAAGGAATTAAAACCCTTCCCAGAGCAGCACTGTCAGGTGTGCGGGCTCGGAGCAGCTGGAGGCCCGCCCAGCCCAGGCTCCGCGAGCGGCACGCCAGGCAAATCGGAACGACACTGCGCGGCCGGACGGGGTACAGGGACTAGGAGGCAGCGGGGGGGCCCGTCCCCCATCCCTATGCTGGGCCAAGCCCCTGTCCCCCGTCGACCACCTCCCACCCACGGGGCCCTGACCTGTGTGCCCTGTGCTGCCCCTCGGAGCCCACAGAGGACCCCCGGGAATGAAGCCGGCCTGAAGCACTGGCCTCGCGACCCCTTCCGATCCTAACGGAGGCTCCGGAAAGGGAGGCCCACATGCTCACGCGGCTGAACCCCTCCCCGCTGCGGTCTCTCCAAAGAAAAGGCTCATTTCCACGGCACGGTGGCCCCACAAAGACCTCCCCGAGCTCAACGGAAACTCAACCCGATGGGAAAATAAGACACAATCTCCTCACTAGGAGTCACCCCTGAAGCAACGCTTTTAAACGGGGCTCAGGGAGCTGTCTGTGGACCGAGAGCCTGACTTCTGTGTAAAGGGGTCTCAGTCCAACCAGCAAAAACCGCGTCAAGATTCCCGACTCAGACGCCTGCAGCGGTAAAACCACACACAGCCGTGTTTGTGTCGCGGGGAGCGTTCGTGGGGGGAATGAGCAGCCGGGCGGGAGCCAGCAGCAGCCCCGTCCAACTTCTCACAGGACGAGTCCGGAACCGGGGCCTTGGGGGAATTTAAGGACCTGCCCACCGGGTTCTCGCCCAGGAACAAAAGGAACAAGACATTTTTCACCAGCACTCACCCCCTTTCATTCATGGCAAACCAGGGGCTAATGTTGGTGGGGTGCCCTGTGCTCCGTAAAACAGGCAAATCGTGACTCGCAACTCAGCGGCCGCCCCACCCGAGGGCCCCTCTTTCCACGTTTTCACCAAGCAGGTCGGTGGAGGGAAAGCTCTGTCCCTTCTGACGGAGGCGCCCTGGGCCCGAGTGGGCCTGCGGGCTCCTGGGGGGCCCACAGCCCGGTCCCCAAGTCCGAGCGCACACATGCAGCGTGGCAACGGCTGTACCGCGGGCTTTGTTCGGCAGCTGACTGTCTTTCGGGAACCTTTCCTTCCTTATCTGGGTCCAGGGAACTCAGCTCAGAAGCACTTGGTCCCCACTCCTTCCCCCACCCAGAGGTGCTCCCGTGGAATCCACCTCTGGCCACCTCTGTGGCACCTGGTGTTCCCAGGTGGACTGAATAGTCTCTGCCTACGGGGGACGCGGGCTGACGGTCGTGACAGACAGCAGGGCCGTGTCTCAGTCACATTCAGACGGGAGGTCACCAACCCTCTCTCTGAGCAGATCTTTCCGCTGTTTCCTCCCAAACGACTCCTCCACTCAGTTCTTAGCTCCTCAGTTAAGGGCACATCAGCGTGAGTGCAGACACATATGCACACGCAAGCACACACACACGCATAGGTGTGCACACACAGGCACGCATGCACACACGTGCACACACTCAGGCACAAACACGTGCCCAGACACGCACAGACGCGTTTCTCCATGCGTTCCGCCTTATGATTTTCTCTACTTTCTAAAGAAAGGACCCTTGCCCTTGGTGGTAATAACAATACGCCGAAGCTACCGCAAAATTCCGAGTTAGCCAACAGGTTACAAACTTCATCTGAAATGGCCCCTGGCTCGCAGCAGGGCTGACACCCTGGCCCGGAACCCGAGGTGCACGCAAGGTGGACTCGGAGGTGAGGCGGCCGGCCAGCCTTCCAGGGGCGCGTCCGACGCTCCCCCCGTCTGAAAGACTCAGACCAAGGAAGCACAGTCTTTCCTGTCATCGTATTACCGTGTCCCTGGGATAAGTGACTATTTTTAAGTTCCAATAAGACCCTGTGTGTTACTGTATCCAGAATTATCCACTGTTCTCTTTGTTCTAAAACCCACAGTATCAAACACTACGGGCTGGCCACCAGCCGGCAGACAGGGATGTTATCTTACTACTGTTCTATCAACAAACAGTTCACATTATATTCGTGTTTCCAGACTTGGCCACCACACTTTAGGGTGATCCCAGAAAACCTATTTCCTTCCTCCTTAAGGGGTCAGCTGGCAGCCTGGGGGGAGGGACAGTGTCAGGTCCATGTAGCTCCTTCCTCTCCGGCAGCCTTTCCAGACTATCGTCTCTTCGCAAACATCCTTCAGTGAAGCCCGTGTGGGGGAAAGGTGTCCGAGAACCATCTTCATTTCTGAAAACATCTAGGTCACGGAGACATCGCCTGGGAGCAATGTCCTGTGTGCGAACGGAAACGTCACCAAGAACATCACAGGACCTCACTAGCAGCACTGGCATCGTCAGGGACACACGATGGATGAATTCCTCCACCTCGGAAAGACTCTCCCCGTGTTTCCTCCTGCCCAGCTGCAATCAAGGGCCTGCACGTGAAGGGGTGACCTTCACTCTGCGGGTGACGCCCCACGAGGAGACACGGTGTGAATGCGTCAGAAGACAGAGCAAGATTCAGGGTCCGACAGACTCGGAGAATCACGTTCATAGGTGATTTGGACTCGAGCAGGATTAGATTAGGGCGCAAAGGTCACCTGCCCACAGGGTCAGGGAGAGGCGGGTGCAATCACAGTGGACACCAAACCAAAACTGGCGCATTCTGTGACGTGTCCATGACGAGGCGCCTGCCTCCTGGACTGAGGTAGCAGAGGCGGAGTCTCCGGAACAAGGACATTTACACCCGGTGACCTCGTGGCCTCTCCAACAGCCAGGCCACACCCAGGCTCTGCATGTCCTTCAACACCCCAGAGCCTCATAAACAAACTTTCCAAGGAGGAAAAGGAACCAGCAGTGGGGGCCTGGAGGCCAGTGGGAAACTGTCTCACTTTCGAGTCCAAGAAAATCCAAATCTGAAGACCTGAGGCCAGCATCGCACCCCAAGGTCCGACCCATATAGCTCTACTCCATTTCCCAGTAAACGGCCTGCAGGACTGGGAACCACCGCCAAGTGTCACACTCACTTAATGTAACTGAAACCGGAAACTATGACAGCACTGAGCCGTAAGCTCTTTCACCACCTGCCCAGCGTGTGGGCCCAGGCACGTGACGGGCCCAGAGCACCTCTGCCAGGAGACGGAGTGGGAACCTTAACCAGGCCACTGGGTCTCCCTGCATCTCACCAACACTGGGCATAAAGCCTCTCGACATCTCTGGGCGTCCGGCCCTCAGCTCCATTCCGGAAAGTTCACAGAAAGTGCTGGCTGCGAGCAGGACCACAGGGCGCTGCGCCCCTTGGAATAGGAGCCAAGGCCGCCGGGATTGAGGGCTCCGCCAGACCATCTCCAAGACGGGGCAACCCCTGGGTTTTCTCCTAGTTGAGAAACACCTGAGCTTTACTCCGAGGGTAAACGAGCCGAAGGCATCGCTCGCAGACACAGGTGGGTCAGGTGCCCTGGACCTGGGCAGGTTCCAAAGTCACAGAACAAAAGCAGGGACTCAGACCCACACGTGCCCGCCTGGCACCCTCACAGTGGATTCAGGGTGCTTCTTTGCTGGCACGACTCCAACCCTGAACCACGTCCCCCCCCAAGTGCTTCCAGCTCCCTGGACGTCGATGGACCGAATGTCCATGGGGGTCGGTTTATCTGGATTGTTTTCCATGGGAAACACTCAGGTTTCCCAGGGTGCCGAGTACGCAGTGAGCGCGACCTTCAACTCGTGACCAAGGGNGGGGTGCTTCTCTGCTGGCACGACTCCAACCCTGAACCACGTCCCCCCCAAGTGCTTCCAGCTCCCTGGACATCCATGGACCGAATGTCCATGGGGGTTGGTTTATCTGGGTTGTTTTCCATGGGAAACACTCAGGTTTCCCAGGATGCCGAGTACGCAGTGAGCGCAACCTTCAGCTCGTGACCAAGGGCATCGTACCCAATGGGCACGTGGAAACCTGCTGGCAGTTCCGTTACGACTGTTAGGTGTCATCACCGTGGGACCGACAGAAAAGGAAGTAACTGTGTAACTAATACTTTTTCCAGAACTAGCAAGAGTCCTTTCCCCAAGCTTCAGATGGTACATTCCTGGTCTACAAGACTCTGCTCACTAATGCGGGCCCGCAGATGTGTGTAGATGAATGCATTAATTATATACAGTCAAACCTCGGTTCTCCAACGCCTCCCATCTTGAACAATTCGGTTCTCGACCAAGTTGTTCACGGGGAAAATGTCTTGGCTGTCGAACAAAACTTCGGTTCTCGACCCAACAGCCCTTTCATGCTAATACCTGTCTGATCAGTCCCGCGTCTCTCCGGCTACAAAGGAGAGAATGCGCGCGCGTGAGTCAGTTTACCCCTACACCTCGCGTTGACATCTCAGGAACTGTGCTCTGAATATTTTTCAGGTCTTTTTTGCTGCTCATTATTAGTAGATACGTACAGGGAGTCTCCACGGGCCCTAAGGTCAGTGACAGCAGCAAAGTGAAAAGGAGAGTTGTGAGAACAACGACAGAGTTTAAAAAAAAGTAATTGCAAAGTATGATAGAAGCTAATTTTCCAGAGTAGTGGGAATAAGGAAAGGTTAAAGCAGGGAATCATCGGGATTGGGAACAGATTAAATCACATTATTTCTATCGGGAAACAATGTTTCGTTTTTCTAACAAGCGATTCTTGAACAGCCTTGGGGAACGAATTAGGTTGGAGAACTGAGGTTCCACTGTGCACATATAAAAATAACACTTAACAAGGGACAATGAGCCTCTATCAAAACTTTAAAATAACAAGAGAAATGTCCTCCATGCCACCTGTTGCCTGCTCTTGCCAACCGCAGCCTGGAGGAGGAGGGGCTGGATTACGGGCCAGCGAGGGTGCAGGGAGGGCAGCCCCGGGGTGCAGGGTAGGTGCCCAGTCAGCAGGCGGCGCTCCCAGCGGGACTCCGGGGCCAGCCGGGGCTGCAGGGGGCAGGAGGGACGCACAGCTTACCTCTGTGCTCGGGCGCAGGGCCGCTGGCTCCCCAGCTCTGGTACAGGCTGGCCAGGTCCTTTGGAATGTACGTCTTAAAGATATTGAGGATGTCCAGGCGCTTCTCGTGGCCCTCGGACGCCGGCTCCTGCTTGACAGCCTGCGTGGCGGGCTGGGCCTGCAGGGCTGCATTCCCTCTGGGTCCCTGGCTGGCCTTGGAGGGGGGCTCTCGGGGAGGGAGCGGGGAACCCCTGTCCCCTCTCACCTGCGTCTGACCCTGAGGCTGAGGGCTCAGTCTGGCTCTCGGTGGGTCCGGGGCACTGTGCTTATTTGGAGGGCCCAGGCCGGTCCCCGCCAGGGGGATGACATGCTTGTCCTCCAGCCTGCTGGTGGCCGAGGACTGGGAGCCCGCCCGGGCAATGACAGTGGGCGTGGGGGTGGCACTTCTGCTGAAGCCACCACTGGCCATGGGCCCCGGTCTGGGGCTGGCCTCCTGCTTGGGCCTGGGGAGGGGTGGCTGGGCCAGGGCTCCATGCTGCTCAGGGCCATGGCCGGACTTGGTCTGCCGAGGCCCCTCGGAGCCAGCCGCCCAGAGCGCGCAGGGGCCCCCAGAATGGCCCTCCCTGCTCTTAGACGTGCCTGTGGCCTTCGTGGTCCCACCCAGGGGCGAGGAGCTTCCTTTGGGCCCCGGCACCCCACCGGGTACCTGGGTGCGCGTGAACCTCGAGATGGGCAGAGGCTGGCAGTCTTTGCCCCCAAGGGCGGGCGGGGGGCCCGTGCGTCCACTCCGGACAAGGAAAACCAAGTTGTTCCTGATGCTCCTGTGACCGTTGGGCTGCGTCCACTGGGGGGCCACGGAGCTGCAGCTGACGCGGTGCCACAGCCGCTTGTGCATCCACAGCACCTCGGGGTAGTAGGTCTTGTGGCTGCAGTAGGGACAGGGGTGCACAGCCAGCGCAGCCTGCAGCGAGGAGGCCAGCTCCTTGTGGCGGGGGTCGTCCCGGGTCGAGCGCTCGCTGAGGTCCAGGGGGATCAGGTCCGGGGCCAGTGCCCTTTTGCTCCCCCCAGGAGGCTCCTTGTGCAAATCACAGGGCTTCTCTTTGGGGCGGCTGGCGGGGCTCTCGGGAGGGAGCTGCAGGGCTGCTCCTTCCGGAAAAGTCCGACCGGCATTCGAAGGGAAGTCCACAGTGTCCCTGGTGCCGGGGGCCTCCTGCCTGGGGTGACACACTGGCATCTTCAAGTCCACAGAAAACTGCGGCGGCTCTGGTCTCCTGGAAGCGGCTCTGCCGTGGTCCTCGCGGGCGGACACGGAGGCTGCGGTTTCCGCGCGGGGCCCGCCGGCGTCCTGCTCTGACGGGTCACGTCCGAGGCCGAGACGCTGGTCTCCGTTGGAGAGCACAGCCGAAGCCACATCTCCGGAAAAGCAGCGGCCGTGTGGCTTTGCCCCTGAGGATCAAAGGTAAAACATGAAGTTACCATTTCTCATCAGAAAAGAACAAGGGGCAGAAGCGGCACCCCAGGTGCTGGGCATGGAGAGGGCGCCGGGCTGGCGGCAGAGCCCGAGACTGGCCAGCTGCTCACGGAGCTCTGGGAGGAGCTGGGCCCCTCCAGGGCTGCCACGTCCAGGCGGCTGCCCCGGTTACAAACGCGATGGAAGCTTCCTGTGCAGGGAAGCAAAGGCCACGCTGACCACCACGCCTCCCGCTGGCGGCATCTGGAAGTTCCCCTCCCGGACATAAGGGAATCAGCCTGGACCCAGGCAAACTTGCTATCTGCCATAGTGACACACAGGGCCGCCCCGGGAAAGCGTGCTCCCCAGGGACCTAGGTCAGGGGCTCGAGGTCCCCGAGGCTCCAGCAGACAAGGACGCCCGGTGCTCCCAGACCAGGCACCGCCGCCGCCACAGCGAAACTAACAGCATGGTCTCCTCCACTCCCAGCAAAGGACAGCTGTGATCTCCACGAGAACAGAAGAAACAAAACAAAACTGCTTCTCATAACTCAGGATCGACAGTTCAGTCCCACAGTCACCAAAGTTTCTCTTGAAGAGTGTGTGAAAAGCCCCCTCACTTATAACACAAGCAATGCCAACGACAAAGGTAATAAGAATAAAGTCTCAGCGACGAGGAAACAGAGCTCTCTGGCCTACATAACACAGACAAGACTATGTACAAGCAACACAAGCAACGTGAACTGTAACAGCAGCAACGGCGTCTAAGTTGTAAGAAAAACCACAGAACCAAATCACAAACTGAGTCATCCGACGTCAAAATGTTTACACACGAACAGATACTTTGTTCCCTAAGTTGTTCCTGCTACTTTTTCTCTATGATCAAACACAGTAGGCACGTTTCCATTTTAAGTAATTAACACATTAATGTAACTTGGAAAACTAACGTAGTTACAGTTACGTTAACAGAAACAGACATCTCTCAGCAGCTTAGGGGTCATATTTTGATTTCTCAAGAAAAAGGTTACAAATTAAATACTGGGTTTCTGACTAAACAAAGTAACCACGTTACACAAGAAAATCTAGAGTCTAAAATCTGGGAAAGGATTTTTTCAAAAGCTTTCCTATTCACAGGGATTAGAGAATCAACATCTTTAAAGGTCACACAAACACCCAGTTCCACCCACAGGCTTCAGTTCCCGAGCAGCAGTCCGCCCGCCACGTTCGAGGGGCCTCGAGCAGCTAACTGCTTCCTCCCGAGCGTCACCAGGCTGCTGGGCTGTTTCAAATCTAGCCCTTGCTGGAGGGGGGACTCGCGTCCATTTTAAATATCACCGTGTGTCTTTTACATCTTCTTTTGCCCCCAAAATCTAACAGCAAACTGGAACTTGGCCATTTGGGGAAAAACGCAAATACAAAAAGAAAAGGAAATCATCAAACAAAACTTTACAAGCCCTGCTTTTAATCAACGAGCATTTCCGTCTCACACAGGTAAAAGAGATCGAACCTTACAAAGAACAGTCCAAGCAACTGCTGAAAAGAAGAGAGCGAAGGGTGAGAAGGGCAGGGGAGGGGGGCACACGGGCCTGTTTCCCACCCTCCTCCGATCACCCGTCTCCCTGAGGAACGGGAGTCGCTCACCCAGCGTTACAGAGAAGTCACTTCACTTAAACCGCCTGCTTTCTCCTTCGCAAGGAGTGTTTTCAGAGATCAGGGGCCAAGAAAGACTTAAGAGGAGCAACACTGTGGGTCTCCATCCTGACGACGACCACACATACAATGGAGCCTCCTGTGGCTTCAAAGTTTTTCTGCTGCTTAATCAATCATCCAAAAATGCAAAACCCAAATTCTGTGCATTGACATGGAAATTAGAAAGATCCCTATAAAAAAAAAAAAAAAAAAAAAAACACACCGAGATGATTTACTAGTAGAGTCTCCGGGTTTAAAGTCAGGCACGTGTCTGACTTGCAGAACAAAGGCCATTTCACAGGAACTGGCCTCTGCTCGGTGCGGAACCAGCGGCCTGAGCCCAGCAGCAGCGCCCGCGCCATGCTCGGCCTCTGCCGCTAGGTGGCGCCTGCCCACAACATATAACCCGCTCTGGCTGCTCCGGGGGAGATCCCGGGATTCCAGGAAGGGGAGGGAGGCGGCTCTGTTTCTGAACAACAGGTATTTATTAGCGAAAGACTGGCACCAAGAACTTGCTTTAAGACCCATGGGTACAATCGTATTTTGTGCGTATTTCTTTGGAAACACGGCTTCAGACCACACATCATCCTCGTGAGGACGCATCGGGGCATGGCCAGTCCCGGCTCAGCACCGGGGTACCTGCGGGTTACGGAGCTGCCAGGCAGAGCAGTGGCCGCGGGCCTCGGGGCCAGGTCGGCCGCCGTGTGTCCGGCCAGTGACCTTGTCCACACCAGAGGGTTGGGCACAGGGATCTTACAGCTTTTTATGGGTGTAAACATATAAATGAGTATAATTTATGTAGATTTTCTGTCTGTCCAACATGACAAGTTCAAACTATTATATAAATGTTAAATCTCAAAAGTTCCACTTAGTGAAAAGAAGTGCTTTATGTTACTTAATCACTTAAGCAACTTCCTAAACCCCATCAACTAAATGTTTCTGTAACCTCAGGCAGGCTGCCTGAGCCCTCCCCATGCTGACCTAGGACTGAAATCACAATGTCCTTAGTTCAATGAAAAAAAGGGCAGAAAACCACACATATATGCATCGTTTTGTGAACGAGAGTCTCCATCCCTTAGTTTGATTCTCTCCTTTTTATCTAAAGAGGGGATGAACGTGCCCCTTCACTAACTGTACCTTCAGTTTTGCTCCTAATTTACAGCCCACCTTCAGCTTGTGCCATTTTTTAAGTCAAGACAAAAGATCGAGGCCACACCGCCCCCTGGAGGACACACGCCACCCAGAGGCCTGGCGTTTCTGGAAATCCCCGGGCAGACGCGGGTTTCTCAATCTCCGAGTTATTTTGAGAACTTGCAAAATCTGATTTCTGTGATTGTTTTCCAGGAGGCCTTGGCTAAGCGGGAGCCCCGAGTCTATGAATTAGAGGTTTGCAATGCTCCGAGCAGGGTTTTCCAGCAAATCCTATTAGCCGGGCTGAAAAGGAAGCGCCCTCAGCCTGTCCCCGGCCCCGCCACGGGCTGGGCCTCCCCTCCGGGGCTGAGATGGCCCTGCAGCCACTGGCCAGCCCGAAATAACTCAGGACAGGCGCCATCTGGGGCAGAGGTGAGGGCACCGGGGCCAGGAAACGGCAGGTCACCCGCTGCGCGCTCAGCCGACACCCCACAGCCCTTCTCCAGTCAAGAACGTGAGCGAGTCTGAGGAGCGACGAAGGAAGCGGGCATCTGAGACCTGACTGAGGGGCGATTTCTAGACAGCGAGGAGAGCAGAGCCTGGGCGCGCACATGTGCGCATGTATGTGCATGTAAGCATGTGTGTGCATGTGTATACACGTGTGTGCATGCATGCATGGGAGGTGATGGTGGCCACGAGGGGGGCAGCTCTGAGGACACATTTTAAGGGCAAAAGTGACACCTCAGCCCCCTCTTCTACTTGCTAAGGATGCCATCTTGGTTGACACTAATTAAATTATTGGCTCTTTAAATAAAACCTTTCCAGTCCCGGCAACGCCTCCTGCTGATTCATTTGTGAGCAAAGCAGGGGGAGCTGTCCTCGCAGGGGGAGACGGGCGCTAATCAAGTAACCGGGAGCAAAGTGGCCTCTCAGAGACGGAGCAGCAGGCCCGGCGCCTGCCAGGACCTCAGCTCCGCCTGCCCCGTGGTCCGCGCCCAGGGCACCTCCTGTTCCCAGGGCCCCGTGGGCTCTCTGCTCTCCCTGGGCACCCAGGTGAGGGGACGGTGCCTTCAGGGACGAGAACCAGGCTCCTCCCCATCACACTGCGAGGTCACTAAGGCAACGAGCAAAATGCAAAACGGGAGGCGACTGGAAAAGCTGCAACCACTCCGCTCCCTGAACTCAGCCACTTAGTGAGTTTATCTTAGATTGTGTCTTCTCTCCAACGGAGGGGACGCCTTGATGAGGCTGCTGCGTTTTTGTCGCCCGTCAGCGATGACCCATGTTTCCCACACAGTGCTGGCAGCTCGCAACGGTGTCAGGTCTGCCGGCCGTGGCGGCCAAGCTGCAGCCACAAGGCCGAGAGCCAGAACCACACTGAAAACACTGTTCACGACGTTAGTGATCCGCACTGCTGCTGAGTCACCCCGTCACCGCCTGGACTCACCGGCCACGCTCACCGGCCACGCCTACCCCAGCAGCATCACAGCCCATTCACTCTGCGTGTGCCTGTCTTCACACGTACAGACACACGTGCACACACAGTCCCGCATGTGCCATCTCAATGCAGTCACACAGAAGTCACATGTGCACACATGCAATGCACACACAGTCATGCACACACATACCATTTCCCACAAGAGAGCTGCAAGGATGGGCCGGGAGGACCTCGGGGGTCAGTACTGTCCAGCCAGAAAATTACACACATGACCCCGAGTCCTGAGAACGTGGCTCACTTTCCCACAGCCGGACAATTACAAAGTCCAGAATGTCAACNTCACAGCTGGACAATTACAAAGTCCAGAATGTCAACCAAAGGAATAGACTGTTCTCTAGAAGGAGAAAGTGTGTGCATGTTGTGTTTACGTTAAAGCTATTTTTAAAAGCTGGGGGCATCCGTTCATACCCTTAGAAACTTACAAGTGACAAATCTCAGGAGCCAGCAGGAGCCGGGCCACAGAAACAGGAGGGCCCCATCTTTTCCTGCACTCACAGATTCCTATCGACTTTACGACTATATAACACACCCCAAATCTACACTGGTAGCTACAAAAAATGAANGAGATTCCTATCAACTTTACGACTATATAACACACCCCAAATCTACACTGGTAGCTACAAAAAATGAAACAGTTATATTTTTAGAATCTGGGAAAATTATATTAGTCACACACAAT